TACCAAGGTAACATATTTCGGTAGATTCACTTTAGTAACAACAGTAACAGCTGTCCCAATGGAAAACCACAACTCGATTGATTTGTGGCTTTTCCTACTGTAATTTTCAGGCAACAAGCAGAGTAAACTGTTTTAAGTAAATCTTGGAGTAACTACAAAAAACTTCAGATTTTTTAAAAATTACCAAAAAAAAAAAAAAAAAATACAAATAAAAATATCTGAAGTGTTGATTCAAACATATTTTATATTAACCAAAAAAAACTGACCTCTTTTCTTTAAATTATCTTTATATTTAAAACAGCTAACACATGTTTTGTTAATTTCGGTTTATGGGAGAAGAAGAGTACAACTTTTTTCTTTGATATGAAAGTTTGTTCTGAAAACATTACTTAGGGTATTGGAATTTCCGGTGAACCGATTTTAAAACGCTTTACCGGACAGTGGTTCATATTCCACATGCGCTTAACATTTGATTATTTCATTAACACTTCATGTGGTTTCTTTCATTTGATTGTCATTCATTTATGTCGTCTCACTGAGGTGCTGCCTGGCTGACTGACTGACAAAATAAACTTTGTCATTGCCTAATTAATTAATATACATTTATAAATTTAAATATTTATATCGAAATATACATGTTGAGACTTCTTTTAATTTCCATGTGACTCATTTAAATCACCCGCGAAAAAAAGAAACGCCAAACGTTATTACCAAACGTTGGGCGCCACCTGTTCTGATTCATTCATTTATTGATATTTGAGGTTTTGTCTAATGTTTTTTCGGCTTGTTTGTTGTTTTGAGAGCAACGGAACATGTTCAACTAGTTGTTATAATTTTGCATAATTAATTTTGTGGGGTTGTGGGTTTCTTTTGGGTTTTTAGAGATCAATGTTATTTTTTTTTTTTTTTTTTTTTTTTTTTTTGAAACAAGAATTTTATCGTTTGTTTGTCTGCACTTACTGGGTATTTCCTAAGGAATTTTGCGACAATTTTGAAAAATTCCAAAGTACACTTTTTTACGAAAACAGGAAACAACATTTATCATTTGAGACAATCAAAAACAAACTAATAGTCGTATTTGGCAAAATACCAAAAATAAAAATGGTTAATTTTTTTTATTACCAATAATTTTAAATTAATATATGCAAATGATTGAAATGATAAACTCAAGACAAATGTGATTGGAATCAAATGTAGACAAAAATTTTGGGAACTGGGAATTTTGAGAAGGGACTCTGGTATACGAGATCTGTATGTAGACTTGATAGACGATTTTAAAGGTTTTTTAACGACTGACGATGGGTATATCTATAAACGGGAAATGAAGGGGGTCTTGATCATTTTTAGACAAGGTCCGAACGGAATACTTTATACGAAGGAATGTCTTTATAAGATTAGCGATAGAGAGTATTAGTTAGAGTGAAATACCGCATTATTAGGCTAGTGGAAGGGGATATTTACTTATTAGACGAGCGGCAGAAAGTCTTTATTAGACGAGTCGAAGGTAGTCTTTATTTTCGAGCTGAAGCCGGGAGTGGAAGGCAGTCTATATTAGACGAGTGAAAGGTCGTCTTTATAGACGAGCTGAATGGAGATTTTTTGGGCGAGGTGAAGTGGGTCTTAAAGAACGGGGACTCTGAAGGAGAAGACATTAAAAATCTGTCCTAAAGGGTTGCGATTACTAGAAACTCTTTTATAAAAAGAGGGCTATTAAAAGGCGCTTCAAAGACTTAGAACCGAAGACTCTGAATAGAACAAACCCCTTCTATAGAAAAATATACATTTAAAAATAACGGTATTCTGTAGGGAAAAGGTCATAGAAAAGTCTTCTATAGAGGGAAGACGTCTTAAAATCCTTTTAAGAAGAGAAAATGCCTTGGAGAGGGCAAAACAGAAAAAATCTACAACAAGCATACATAAAAATATCTCCTTTGGTGAGAACTTTATAGGAAGGGGTTCCACATAGAAGAGATGTCCTAAAGTTATTCTAGAGAGAAAAACTCCTGAACGTTCTTCTACTGAGAGGAGTCCAATGAAATGGCGTCTTTTGAGAAAAGCTCAATAGAATGTGTCTTTCAAGAAAAGACCTATAGAGAACAACTCAGAAAGGCTTCTAAAACCTTGATACTTGAACGGTTTTATATAAAGACTAGCAAGTGCCTCTAAAAAAATTTAGATTCATTCCAACAGTTCGTGTAAGACCTTTTTAGTACTCAAAGTGAACAATTTCATAAGTTTGACAAAAAAATTCATACATCGTTCTAAGTTTTCTGACATTCGAGGTTATTCATACCTTTTTCCGAAAGAATAATAGGAAAATGTTTACCTCTTACCAAAAAGTCTTCAAGATCTTTAATTTTACCAAAAAGTCTTCAAGATCTTTAATTTTCTGTTTACCGAAGATGATATTCGTAGAATCATTGCGCAATGGACCCACATGCAATTTTTCTGTCCAAAAATATTTCTACGTCTCCATATGTAAACCCTGGAAACCAACAGTGACCTCAATATAAAATTTCAGAATTGCAACTTTATCCCTTCACTCAATACCAAATTTTGTAACATCTACTTCTCTCCATCCTAGACACCAATGGTGAACTAAAAATAGTTCCATCTAGCACTTTTGAAACACTTATAGTACGCATTGGCAAAACCACAATCAGAAATTGACACCAGATACCAACAGAGACCTTAATATCAAATTTCGGGATTGTAGCTCGTACTAATTACCACGTACTAATTTTCGTAGTAGTCCAAATCCAGTTCCTTCTCTCAACCACAGACCCCATTAGTGATGTTCATATCAAATTTTAAATTGCAGCTTTATTCCTTCACCCAATACCAAATTTAGTACCACTTAGTACTTTTCGAACACTTTTAGTACACATTCCCAATACCACCTCCATAACATAACCAGAGACATGAACAGTGACATCCATATCAAATTTTAGGATTTCAGCTCTATTCCTTCATTCAATACAAAATTTAGTACTAATATAGTACACATTTCCAAAACCATCGATATCTCAATTCCAGATGCCAGCAAAGACCTCAATGTCAAATTTGTGGATTCCATTTCTTTTTTTTCACTCAATACCAAATTTAGTATAACTTAGTACTTTTTGTACAAATATAGTACGTATTTCTAAAACCGCCTACAAATCTCATCAGTAATTTAAACATCAATTTCAGAATTTTTTCTCTATTCCTTTACCCATTACCAATTATAGTATCAATTCTTACTTTTCGTACAATTGTAGTACACATTTCCGAATGCCCATGTGTAGCCTGAACAGCGAACTAATGTAAAATTTCAGATTTCGAGCACTATTTGTTCACCTACTACTAATTGTACCAAGTACACATTTCCAAAATCACTTTCTTATATCAAACTTACTATCCATCCTTGATTCTCATACCAAATATCAAGCTCTTAGCTCTATCAGTACACATAAGTCCAAATGCTACAACTTCAGCAGTTTAGTTACATTTAAGAAATTTTCGTAAGCTTTAAGTTCGATTTTCCAGAAACCATTCTTGCACTCCATCAGTGACTCTAATCAAATTATTAATTTCTTGGTACATTTAAGTACTTTTCGTACCCATTTTGTAAGAATTTCGAAAAATCTAGCCTCATCACACCCCTGGATACCAAGACTGGCCTTCGTGTAAAATTTCAAGATTCTAGCTTCAGCCGTTTCTTTTGGGCGTTGATCAGTCAGTTATTTCACTATTCTACTTTTAAAAGCTCTTCCATAGACTTAAGTCTTTTAAAATCTTCTCCATTGATGGAAGACATTTAAGCATCCTTCATCAGACAGGAGACAGACAAAAGGCCTTGAGAAGATCACCTACCGATGGAGTAAAAGCTTATCTATATGTAGAAGTCACCTCAAAACATTCATGATATTTTAATGTTTGTCTATAGAAAACTAAAAGCTCAACTATAGATAGCAGAATTTTTAAAACTTTTAAATAAAGAGAACGCCTTAAAAAAAGTTCCTATCCTTAAAAGCTCTTTTATAAATAAAAGGCCATTAAAAACTCGTCTATAAAAAAGGACCTTTTAATGCTTTTCAATAAATATAAGACCTTTAAAAGCTCTTATTTTAAAGAGCTTTCTTTTAAAGACCTTTAAAAGCTCTTCTATAAATAGAAGACCTTCAAGCTCATCTATAGATAGAAGTCCTTTAAAAGGTCGTTTATTGCTATATGAACTTCAAAAGCTCTTCTGTATGAACTTTAAAAGCTCTTCTATAGGTAGAAAATCCTTAAAAGCACATATAAATAGAATATCATTGAAAACTCTTATAAAAACGATTCCTCAAAGTATTGAAGGTCTTTAAAAGTTATTTTATGATTGAAGACCTCTTCTATAAATAGGAGACCTATAGAAAGAAAGCCCTTAAAAGTTCTTCTATAGATAGAAGTCGTTAAAAAGCTTTTCTATACATAGAATACCTTTAAAAGCTCATATATAGATGGAAAATCTTTAAAAGCTCTTTTGTAGACCTTTTAAAGTTCTTCTATTGATTTGAGACCTTTAAAAGCTCTTCTGTAGATAAAACTCTAAAGGCAGTATAATAAAAAATGTATTTAAAAGCTATTCTATTTATAGAAGTATATTCATTTCCTTAATAGAAATCATTTAAATCACATTAAAATACCCTTTCTACATCGAAGATCTTTGGAAGGATTTTTTCTCATTAGGACTTAAGCCTTCTATACACAGATTATCTTAAAAGAAATATGTGGACACAGTAATTCATACGATTTTTTCCTGTCTTCTTCTGTTTATAAAAAATCAGAAGGCCTCTTGATCTATTAAAACTCCATCGCATATGATACCCAATTAGAAAAGTTTTGAATTTTAAAACCGATAATTACTTCCTACCTTATTAAAAAAATGAAGATCGTTTGAAATAATAACTTTATTGTAATGCTTCAAATTAAAACAACAATACAACGTTGAGAGCTCCCGCCATCTTATCTCCACTTACCTTGTAAATGTGAACCGTTCGGTATGTAGCCTCTACAATCGGAATTAATTGTACTGTTCGTCGGTGAGTGATTGCCACTGCCAACCAATTGGGGCATCGAACTGACTCCGCTTGAGGCTGATGTAGGTGTGACCGACGAAGAATTGTTGGTAACCGAGACGGCAGCAGCGCTTGCTGCTGCAGCAGCCGCCGCCGATGAACGCGTTACCCGATGGATTTCACGAAAATGATTTGAAAAGCTAGCAGCATCACCGTAGGAACGTTGCGATAGTCCAAAAGCACGAAAATGATTGGGGCCGGGACCGGGTCCGGGACCTAAAAAAAAGAAAAACAAAAGAAATCTCATTTAGTTTTTAAGTTCAACAACAAACAGCTACTCCAATCCAAGTTTATTGATGGCAAGTAGTTAGCTTTTATTGAAGTAAGGTCCAAATAATTAAGCCACTGGGAGAGGAAGAGTCATAGAGTGTTAATTTTCGATATGATGATGTTGATGAATGGCTAGATGTATGTCTACAAAAAAAATTAAGCTATTTCTAAAGATGAACCTTAAATACCACTCTCCTTAAACTACCCAGAAGTACAGCCATAATTTCAAAACTTTTAGCCGAAGTTTGATAACCGATGTTGCAATTGTTGTGGTTGTATTTTTAATGTGAAGACTTAAAAATGCTGTTGCTGTATAAATTATTAAAATCTGAAAAAAAGAGTACTGAACAAAAATAGGTAATAAAACAAAAACAAAGCAAAAATCAGCCCCTCCGTCAGTGTGTCTGTCGTTTCGACGCCCGTTAGTTCACTCATTTATTCCTCATTAATAGCAACCAGAGGAAACCAAAACATTTGGAAAATCAAACCGGTCAGAAGGGCAGAGAAGGAGCTATGAGGGGGTATGAACAATACAACGGTATTTGGTATTCCTCACTCTGGGTGGAGGAGGGACGGAGGGAGCTTTGGTTACTGGTATTTCTGTTGTTGCTGCTGCTGCTGTTGCCGTTGATGGTGGTGGTGATATTTTTTATGAGAAACCGCAAAATTGCATTTTTTTCGAAATCCAACACAATATTGTCCCCTCTCGCCCCTCGTACTTCGTGTTGTTACCCTCACTAGGTATATTTATATATATTTTATAAAATAAACTGCGTTGTTTAATTCCACAACAGTCCATGCGATAAAAGTGTGTCCTTTTGAAGAAAAATGAGAATTTTTGACAAGGATCAGAATTTTTTTTTAATTTTTTCTTAGAGACGATGCTTCGGACTTTTCGGTGGGGATTCTGGGCATGTTTACAAGGTATTTTAAAGCTCTTTTATAGATAGATGATCTTTCAATGGCCCTCTACCTAAAGTAGCATATATTAACGAAGCTATTCCATTGATAGAAACTCTTTTAAAGATCTAGGACTGATTTTCTTTGAACTGAAGGCCGACTGATTTTCTTTGAACGAAAGGCGTCGGTTGACAGCATCCTGAATATCGTTCTTTATGCTGAAGACCTATAAAAATGTTGGACAAGGATAAACAAAATATTTTTATTATCGGTTTGGAACTATGCATTGCACTTTTTAAGAATTTTATGGACACGTTTTCCTAATATCATCGAGCTATAACCTTGGATTTTTATATCAACCATCATAAACAACACCTCGAAATATTCACGGGAGACCCCATAGAGTAAATATACATTCATGATCAGCGAAAAATACAGTCATATTCATCTATCTGTGCACCTTTTGAATCATGAAACATCTCGCACTGTTACAGATGGAGCTTTGAAATTTTACACAGGCAATGATGACGGTACCAACTGATTTTCGGTACTCTAAAAGTCTAATCCCAAGTTTGAAAATTGGAGCATTTGTGGGTAGATGTATTTCCCTCAAAAATATTAAAAATTGGTAATAGCAATTGGGCCATAAGTTAAGTTTTCACATGACCAAAATCAGCGACGTTTTTATTTCAAAAAAAAAATGTAAATATTTTTGCCAGCAGATTTATGTTTCAGATTTAAAAAATATATATTTTCTAAACTCATTTTATTTTATTATTTATTTTTGTATTTATTTGTTTATAATTTTTTTTTTTTTTTTTTGAAATAAATATTTTTGCCATCTGATATATGCATCTAAATGCAGTTTTCTCAAAAAAATGTTACTCGACTTAACATGTGGGTTATATTTTTTCCAAATTTATAATGACCGTTTTTTTTGTAATATTTTTTTAAATATATTTTTTTGGTTGATTTTTTTCAAAAACAGTTTTCCATCAGATTTTTACTTGTTGTTTTTTTTAACCGAATTTTCCATCAGACTTTCACTGACTTGTTTCACATGTTATGAGGTTTATAATTATTCTAAATTTCGACCTTTTGCTCGTCGGGTACCAGAAATCAGATCTTACGTAAGTGGAAATATTGGAATGTTTGAAGCTTATAATGAATTGGATGCGTGTTTGTGAGAATTTTGGACATTTCGAATTTTGACTCTCTGTGGGGGAGGAACCCTAAAGGAGTGGGCCTATATCTACCATCTTCACAAAAGATTTTGTGTTGGCAGAAATATTGGGGTGTGGCGAGTTTGAAAGGAATCGATTTCTCATTTCGCGTTTGTTGAGGTGTCAGAAGAAATGGTCTGACATATTCTATTCTCCCACCTGATCTAATATTAGCAGAAACATTTGGTTGTGCTGAGCTTGAAGCTAATCAGATACTTATTTCGCGTTTTATGAACTTCAAGGCCATTCAAAATTTCGACCCCTTCGTGAGGGAGATCTGTTAGCAAAAATGCTTGAATGTGGTAAATTTGGGGAGATAGATGAATTTGGATGCTTATTTCGCTTTCTTTGAGCATTTTGTTTTTTTTTTTTTAAATCTTGAACCCTATATAGGGGAGATACCAGAATAAATGGTGCGATCTCTACCATCTTTATAACAGATCTTGTGTTGACGAAAACATTGAGATGGATAAAGTCTGAGTGGAATCGGAAGTAATTTTCGCGTTTTATGAGCTTATGGATATTCAAAATTTTGAGTCTTTGTAGGGGAGGTACCAGAAGTAATGGACCGATAAACAACTTCACAACAGACTATGTAGTAAAAAAAAAATTTGGAAAGGAAGGGAGATACATGATGGAGTGGGCCGATATTGTCCATTTTCGCACCCCACCTAGAACTGACGCAAATATTAGGATTTGCAAAGTTGGAGCAAAATCGGATTATCCTTTCTCCTTATGTGCAGTAAATTATTTTCTTAGAAAATATTGACATTTTGTGGGGGAGGTACCAGAAGGAGTGGACTGATATTGCCCATCTCCGAACTCGATCTAGATTTTATAATAATATTACGATGAACGAAGTTTTGGCCAATAGAATACTCCCTTTGAGAGTTATCGTACGCACCAGCAACCCCTAGATCGACTTCAAATGTCCTGAAACGGATTTTGTCCAAAAAGACCTAAAAACCGTTGTTTCGATGAGACACGTTTTATACATACCATCTGTAGCCATATGACTGAGGGTATAAAAAAGTGTCTAGGATCATCAAAATTCTGAAAATCGATGCATACCGTTTTATGTTTATCTTGGTCCGATATGGAGAATGTTTGGACACCGGTTGTAAAACCCATTATGACTTACAAATAGCTATTTTAAAACAAGATACGATTGAAAATACGAAATGTCAAATATATGCAGGTTGCTTTTTATGTGGGGCTAAACGTGGGCCTATACTAACTATGTACATCCACCAAAGGTAGAACTCGTTACTTACGCGAGTTGAAAATTTATCGAAATATCAAGATTAAAACAAATCCGATAGAAAATATCACCTAAATCGTCAATATACCGAATATCGACAAATAATGTTATATGGGGGCTGTAGGAAACGTGAACGTGAAATTGATATTCTTCTAACAAAGGATGTAAAATCTATTACTAACTCAAGTACCGACTTTTAAACAATCCCTTTAGAAAATGCGACTTTAAATCCAAAAATAGCGAATATCGGGAGGTACCGGCATATATGTGCTATAATATGGCAGAGGTAGAACCCATTATAAACCCTTTATACAAAACTTGGAACGATTCCGACCAAAAAATGTGAGCAGAATGATCAAAATACCGAATATCGGTAGGTCCCATTATGTGGAGGCTATACGAAAACGTGGACCGATATATCACATTTTGAATACCAACCTATCCTAAACACAATACAAACTATTGTGCCACGTTTCGAAGCTCTTAGTTAAATAATGTGGACTGTATCGACAGACAGACTGACGGACAACGTTACATCGACATAACATTTTATGCTGGTCTGGAATACATATTCTATGGAATCTACGATGAATATTTTTTTTTTATTTTCATTAATGGGATGCCAACGGAATGACAAAGCTAATATACCCTCCTTTCCAAGGTGTAGGATATGAAAAAATATATTTTCTACCACCACTCGAATTAGCTGAAACATATATTTGCCAACAGCACGCCTATCCTTGCGGCTACATGATCTATTATCGCAGATTTTAAAAATTAAAAAATTTACAGACCTAAAAATATACAGGAGCTTTGCTGGCAGATTCGAGATTTAAATATTTTTTATTTTTATTTATTTATTTTTTTTTTTTTTTGAAAATAGATTTTTTGGCGAAATTTAAAACAGTTTATCCCCCCTCAGCATTTTTTCAAGTTGTTTATTTACTCAACGTGATATTGTTTTTTACAAAAACAATTTCTACCTCTCTGACTATACTCGTGGTTTTTTACCACTATCTTCAATTTTTTGTAAAATCGCCAGTTTTAATAAATTTCTAGAGGTGATTGATACCTAAAATGGTCCCTTATACCTTCTGATTTTGTTACTTTAACGATATCCAACCCACTGATTAAAATATTAAATATTTTCCAAATTCAAGATATGTTTTTCAATACTAATTATCATACTTCAGTCAATATATTCCATAAAATTAACTAACCGCAATCGCTGATTAACGATCTCTCGCAACGCACTATCGAACGGGGAAGTACTAACAATCTATGTATTCTTGTTTACTTTATTCTACAATTTATTTTAAATACAAATAACACACAGTTTGAGTGCTATAAAAATAACAAAAACAAAACGAAAAAGAAAAAAATCTGGCATTTCTAGACGACTTTTCAAACAATTGACGCACAATGGAATCGGGTTGGCTGGTTGTGGTAACATTTTGGGTTATTTCTTCCAAGATATTCTATAGCAACAACATAATTAGGGGAGCTTTATTTACAAAACAAACAAAAAAAATGTCTTTAGATCCCGGTTGGTTGATACCTTTTCAGAGATATCCTTTTTCAGCTGACACACTAACCCAACACTTGAAAGAAACAAAGAGAGAGAACAACCCAATTTCAAAAACAATATGGCCGGCCAATGAAGTGAATTTTTTCTGCAACTTCCGTTACAGGTAGGGAGTACGTTTTTTTTTTTTGTTTTCCCTCTCTCTTTTTAGATTTTTATTCATTGCCTTTTGTTATTGTTTTATATGCAACACTTGCTTAAATCGCTCTAAATCCTTTAATACCATTATCTGTATTTGTTTGTTTTCCCAACAAAAATCATATTTCCTTAAATGCCTATTTTTGTGCGGTAATCCCCTTTGTTTCCCTTTGTTGTGCCCGAGGTGCAAATCTAACACATGTTATCTCTCCAACAAATGGGCCTTGGAAGCATTTTGTTCAAAATTTGCCAAAAGGCGTGTATTTTGTTTTATCTATTCTTTGTTGTGTGGCCAATATTTAAATACTTTAATCCGATTAACCAGGGGATTAGGAGGTCTCATGACAAGTGGAAATGTTGGAAATGACTTGTTGCATGACAACAGTTGTGATATTGGTATGGTGTGAGAAGAAAATTGGTCTAATGTTCAACATCTTCAAACAAGTCAAAAAAGCATCGATCGGTTTTGCCGACAGATGTAACCCTCAACCAATGTTCGATTATTTAAAAATATTTTGACTACTATTATTATTAATCAAATGTTTAACCCCAATATTGGCTATTTCGTATCGAACTTAAATAAATATGATATAAATATTGCGACGTGCTAGGTTTGATTGTGTTGTTCTAATGGAAATGGAAATTTTGGGATGTACCAAGTCATGAATAGAATCGGATGTCAATTTCGCTTTTTATGGGGGAGGTACCAGAAGGAGTGGACCGATACATCCCATCTTATTCAAAACTTTGACCTTTTGTGGGGGAGGTACCAGGAAAAATGGTCCGATCTCTACGATTTTTTTAAAGATCGTGTGTTGGTAGATATATTCAGATGTGCTAAGTCTAAATAGTATCCGATGTTAATTTCGTGTTTTATGAGCTTATTGGATATTCAAAATTTCGACCTTTTGTGGGGGAGGTACCAGAAGGAGTGGACCGATATATTTCAGTTTAACACCAGTTCTTAGGGTTTATGAAAATATTGGGATGTGTGAAATTTTAACACAATCGGATTCTTACATCACATTTTATGAGAGTTGTAATTATTCAAAATTTTAACCCCTTGTGGGGGAGGTACTTGACGGAGTGGACCGATATTGTCCAATTTCACACCTCACCTAGCACTGACGCAAATATTAGGATTTGCAAAGTTGTAGCAAAATCGGATTATTCTTTCTCTTTCTGTGCTAAAAAATATTTTTTTTGAAATTCTGACCTTTTGTGGGGGAGGTACCAGAAGGAGTGGACCGATATATTCCATCTTATCACCTGACCTTGGGTTAATATAAATATTGGACTCTTACATCACATTTTATGAGAGTTGTAATTATTCAACATTTTGACCTTTTGTGGGGGAGGTTCTTGGTGGAGTGGACCGATATTGTCCTTTTTCACACCTGACCTAGCACTGACGCAAATATTAGGATTTGTAAAGTTGGAGCAAAATAGGATTATCCTTTCTCTTTCTGGGCAAAAAAATATATTTTTTGAAAAATTTGACCTTTTGTGGGGGAGGTACCAGAAGGAGTGAACCGATATTGCCCATCTCCGAACTCGATCTAAGTTTGGCAAAAAAATAAGTTTGGACAAAAATATTGCGATGTACCAAGTCTGGACCAAATCGGATACACTCTTCGAGAGTTATCGTGCGCACCAGCCAGCCAGACAGACGGACGGACGGACGGACATCGCTAGATCGAGCTCAAATGTTCTGAAACGGATTTGGTCCAAAGAGATCTAGGGTCTAAAACCATTATTTCGACTAGGCACGTTTTGGCCTATCAAATGATATATACCCTCTGTAGCCATATGGCTCTGTAGTCACTTTACGGCAATTTTAGTACTTTTCGAACAAAATCCACAAATCCAAATCCACCTCCTTCTCTCAAAACTGTATCCCAACAGTGGACTCCACATCAAATTTCAGGATTCCAGATCTATCTTAAGCCCAAATTTCCCCCATTACCAAATTTAGTACAATTAAAGTACGCATTTCCAAAACCAGCTGCTTCTCTGCACAACAGACCCCAACAGTGACATTCCTATCAAATTTCAGGATTTCAGCTCTTGTTCTTCACCCGGTACCAAATTTTGTACCACTTAGTACTTTTTTAACGATTATGGTACACATGGCCCACATTTTCAAAACCACCCCCATATCTCAATCCCCGATAACAGAAGAGACCTCAATATCAAATTTTGGGATTTAAGCTCTATTTTTCACCCAACATCGAATTTAATACCATTTAGTACTTTTCCTACAATTATAGTACCCACGTCCAAAACCACTTCCAGATCTTAACTACAGGCATCAACAGTGACATCTACAACAAATTTCGGGATTCCAGCTATATTCCTTCACCTAATACCAAATTTAGTACCATTCAGCACTTTGCACATGAATAGGCGACCCTAATACCAAATTTCAGATTTCAAGTAGCATCTGAATCTGTTCATTCAGCTCTATTCCATCACCCAATACCAAATTTAGTACCTTTTTTTCCTACAATTATGGTGCACACGTCCAAAACCACTTCAATATCTTAACCACAGACACCAACAGTGAAATCTACAACAAATGTTGGGGTTCCAGCTCCATCCCTTCATCCAATACAATGTTTAGTACCATTTACTACTTTTCGTACAGATATTGGAAGCATTTTTAAACCACCTAATATCACATTTCAGAATTTTATCCCTATCCCAGTTTGTACGCTTAGTACACATTTCCAGAACCGTCTTCTATATTATCAAAAATACTTTCCAACATTAATTCTCACACCAAATTTATGGCTGTTAGCTCTATCCGTTCACACATAATACCAAATAGTACCATTTTAGAAGTTAAGTATCATTTTAGAACTATTCTTAACTTTCAAGTTTAAATTTCCAAAACCCTTTGGTACATCTATCCTGCACTTCATCTGGGACTGCAATTTCAAATTTCAGAATTTTACCTCATTTTGCTCAAGTGTACAATTTTTAACAAAATTTTGCTACTTTTCGTATCCTTTTAGTACGAATTTCCAAAACAAACATCCTTATCACGCGCCTATGCAGTAAGATCCTAGCTTCAGCCGTTTCATCTGGCCGTTGATTCTGGGGCAGTCAGTTATTTCAAATTTTCGACAAAGTTAGCATCTATTCTCCGCATTATAAGTTTAGTACCATTTTAGAAGTTTTCGTAATCTGCAAATTCGAATTTCCAAAAACCCTTTGGTCTGTCCGTCTGTGGAAATCACTCTAGCTTCCGAACGAAATGAAGTAGGTTGATACAATGTTGCTCAAATGTATGTAATATCTGCAGGACTTTTGGTATTGAAAATGGGCCATGTAGGTCCACGTTTTGCTATAGCCCCTATATAACGGTACCTCCCGATATTCGGTATTTTGATGATTTTAGCGACATTATTCCCCGGAATTGCTTCAAATTTGGTATTTGGAGTTCGTAATGGATACTACAGCCTATGACGGAAAATTGTCTGTACAGGTCCACGTCTTAGTATAGCCCCCATATAAATGTATTTCCCGATATTCGGTATTTTGATGATTTTAGAGACATTATTTCCCGGAATTGCTTCAAATTTGGTATTTGGAGTTCGTAATGGATACTACAGCTTATGACAGAAAATTTTCTGTGCAGGTCCACGTCTTCATATAGCCCCCATATAAAAGTACCTCCCGATATTCGGTATTTTGATGATTTTAGTGACATTTTTGAAGTTTGTTTGAAGTTTGGTATTTGAAGAATTTTAAGGTGGACATTTCACATACATAGTTGAGGGCACTTACTAGTTTGTCATAAAATTCTTAAGGTTCCGAGAAAATATCAAAAGTCTAATGCTCAAAATTATATTCCTTTTAATTAATATTTGCTAACATAAATTTGATTTTTTGAATGAATTGGAAAATCAGCTATGAGATCGCAATGAATAAAGTTTTTTTAGCAAGCTTTCAAATGATGTATGGGCATTGATGTATCGATGACGTGGATGTTTCTATTTTTTGCGCAAAAAAATACGAAATAACAAACTTTCTATTCTCTCACCATTTAAGAAACTCGCCAAATTTTTACTATCCTTCATTATCATTTCACCGTCATCCTCATCATCGCCGTCGACAAAATTTGACATAAACCCACTTTCAAATTCTGCCGCTTGTACGAAATCGCTCGGATCATTGACGGATGCCGATGAATTCGTGGCATTTAAATCACCAACCAATTCATTTGGACTAACTAACGATAGGGAATGAAAGGATTGTTTGATGGGCAACAACGACAATGATGAGGTGGAAGACGATAAGGTGGGTGAGGACGATACCGTGGATGAGACACGAACTTCTTCTACTTCTTCTTCTTCGTTGCTTAGATGATGACGTTGCCTTTCGGCAAACGAATGATTTTGGGTCTGTGGGGTCGGCGGCGGCAACATTGTTCTAATCTGTGGGGTGCGTCGTTTACATTTTAACATCATCGACTTACTTGTTTTGGAGCGTGGTTCACGCGGTCCATCAACGGTAACTTTGATCGCCTTGGCATAGGTGGCCACCTGTCGGGGAAATGTATCCACGGTAATGGTTAGGGTGAAACTTTTACCTGAAACGAGACAAAAAACAAAAACAGAAGTGTTAAAAACCATAAATTTTAATTATTTCATGTTTGGTGGGCTATAAATTTCATAAATTATGCCTTCGTTCCTTTGCTCGTATGTCAAAAGGAGACGACGACGAAATTGATTTCCTTCGTCAGGGTTAATCTTGGTTTTTGACACACATTTAATTTTTGCTAATGGCGCGTGTTAAGTCATTAACAGTTGGCGGTCTCTCTTTTTTTTAGCAGAGGATGAAGATTGATTTTTTTATTTGTATGTTTTTCTTAAATTGCAACATAATTTTGGGTATTAAGAGGCGTTAAAATGCCTTCTTTTTCCAGTTTTGTTAAATTTACAGTTCGTGAGTGTGGGTTGGGAGTTTTGGCTTTCGCACTCAAAAGCTGTAAAATTATTTTTTGAAATTATTTTTTTTTTTTTGAATTTTTGTTATTACAGATCGAGCAAAGATATAGATTTTTTCATGGTTTTAAAATTAGAAGAAACCATTTAATTTTTTTTTTTTTTTTTAATAAAAAAATGGTTTTTTCGAATTGCCTTAAAGTTGAATGTGTCTCCTAACTGTGCTATGTATGTAAATATTCTTTAATAGAATTTGTCTTCCAGACTTTAATGTTCAAATATATGTAAATTGTATTTACGATTGTAAACATCTTTTGTGGACAAAACGAAAGTAACTATACATATATGCAGACTTACAAACATACATGTTAACTTATATACAAGGCAGAAACCACAAAACATTTTAAAGAACACAATGGGATAGCTGATTTCTCAACTTTAAAGCTAAAGACAACACCATGTCACAGGATTTCTCAGATAATCTTTAGCAATTGAAAAAAAAAATGTAAGTTCGACCGGGCCGAACTTTGAATGTCCTCCATTTTGAACGAATTTGACAATCTTCAAAGAAATAAACTCCGTTATCATTCACTTAAAATCTTGAAAATAGCGAATGTAGCCGTTATATTAGGGTCTATACGACGACGTGGATCTGCAAAGGGAATTTTTGTTATAAGACAGTGCAATATTCAAATGCGAAATTTAAAAAAAAAATCAGTGAACTATGTAGCTGAAATCATCAAAATACCGAATATAGGGAGGTACCATTATATGGGAGCTATTCCAAAACCTGGACCTGCACAGACAATTTTCCGTCATAAGCTGTAGTATCCATTACAGACTTCAAATACCAAATTTCAAACAATCCCGACGAAAAATGTCGCTAAATCATCAAAATACCAAACAACGGGAGATGCCGTTAAATGGGGTCTATACGAAGACGTGGATCTGCACAAACAATTTTCTGGCATAGGCTGTAGTATCCATTACGAACTCCAAATACCAAATTTAAAACATTTTCGGTGAATAATGTCGCTTAAATTACCAAAATACCGAAGTTAGAGAGGTACCTTTATGTGTGAGCTATACCAAAACGTGGACCTACATGGCTACATGGCTGGATATAATATACATTTAGGTAAAATTTTATCAACCTACTTCATTTCGTTCGGAAGCTAGAGTGATTTCCACAGACGAAAAAACGGACAGACGGACATCATGACATGACAAACTAAATATACCCTCCATAATATTTTGGGGGGGGGGGTCAACAAGTTATATTTCTATAGGAATAATTCAAAAATTTTACCCTTTTTGGGGGGAGGTATCCGAGGGAGATGGCCAATATGTACCATCTTCACACCAGATCTTGTGTTAGTGTAAATATTGGAATGTGTGAAGCTAAGAATAAATCCGAAGCATCTTTCGCGTTTTTTTTTTTTTTTGGCCCATATCTACATCTACATATCATATGTTGATAGAAATATTGAGATGTGCCGAGTCTAAAAGGGATGAGCTTTTATGAGCTTCATGGCTATTCGCAATTTTCAGCTTTTGTGGGGGAGGTACCAGAAGGGGTAGACCGATTTTTTTCCCAACTGTACACCAGATCTTATGTTAAAAGAATAATCAGATGTTTCTTTTGCATTTAATTAGAATTAAATTAGTTCCAAATTTTGACCTTTTGTGCGGCGGGGGCAGGTGCCATAAGGAGTTGTCCTATGCATCCCATCTTCACATCACATTTTATACCAACGGCCACCTTAATATAAAATTTTAGTGTTTCTGATCTGTAATTTCCCCTCTTAACAATTTTAGTCCAATTTAGTAGACATACCCAAAACCAGCTCCTTTTATCAATCTCAGATACCAACAGGAACCCAATTTTAGTACCATTTAGTACTTTTCGAACAATTATAGTACACATTTCCAAAATATATATATGGGGGTGATATATTGAACACAGACACCAAAAATGATATCTATATCATATTTCTGGATATCAACTCTATTCATTTACCCAATACCAAATTTAGTAATATTTAGTACTTTCCACACAATTATAGTGCGCATACCCAAAGCCATTTGAATACCTTAACCACAGACCAACAATGAGATCTATATTAAATTTCAGGATTTTAGCGGTGTTTCCTCACCCAATACCAACTTTAGTACTATTTAGTATCTTTCATACAATTATAGCTTATATTTTCAAAAACACCTCTTTAATCCCTTAACCCAATATCAAATATAGTACCATTCAGTACTTTTCGTACCATGTTGTACACATAAGTACGAATTTACAAAATTCCCTACATACCCAAATCCTTTACTTCATCAGTAATCCTAATCCCAAATTTCAGGATTCCAGCTCTTTTGGTTCCAAATTGTACCAAATTTAGTACATTTTAGTAAATATATGTACAAATTTCAAAAATTAACTCCATATCCAAATTCTACACTCTGTCAGTAATTGTATTTTCGATTTTCAGAAAACCAGTTCTATTGGTTCAAAAACCCAGCTCTATTGGTTCACCCAAATCGAAATTGTACCAAATTTAGTATCATTTAGTACTTTTCGTACACATAAGCACAAATTTCGAAACCTACATCCATATCCTACACTCTGCCAGTAATGTTAATTTCAAATTTTACGATCCCAGCTTCATCCGTTCCTCCAAATTCCAATTGTGCTAAATTTAGTACCGTTTAGTACTTTTCGAATACATGAATACACACTTGCAAAACTACTTCCTTACATCGACTCTATTCTTCAACTTTGATTCTCATTCGAAATTTCAAGTTTTTAGCTCTACACATTCACATGATACGAAATGGTACCAAGTGTAGTACATTTTAGTATTTTTCGTACACTTATAGCGGGAATTTTCAACAACCCTTTGGTACATCTATCATACACCCCATATGAGACCCTCATTCCAAATTTAATGGTTCTGCTGCTTCCTCTAATACAAAGGGTATCATATTTGGTACCTTTTAATACTTTTCGTACCGTTTTAGTACGAATTTCCAAAAACCCAACCTTATCACACGTCTACGTATCGAGACTGTCCCTCGTCCAGCTTGTTCTAGCTTCAGCCGTTTCTTTTGGGCGTTGATTCTCGGCCAATCAGTCAGTTGCTTTACTACTCTTTGATATTTAAAGTTAGGTCCACGTTTAGCTATAGTTCTCCCGATATTTCGAAGGTTGCTTGTTCTCCTGTATATTTAGAGGCTTTGAGGAAATTTTCGAACTTAGTTTGACTTTGAGAAATTTGAAATTTTGCTGTTTCAATTCCACCACCACTATTCCAGAGAATGAATAATCTTCCATATTATTTACTTCTCCAGGAAATGGTGTAGGCCGGCAGTTAATTCTTGTTGGCCATTAAATTGACAAACCGAAATAAGTAAATAAGCCAATCCCAAAGTTTTTTCTTTGAGTTTTATGGACACACAGGTAATTTCTGAACATTGACAACGAGAGATATTAAAAAAACGCTCATAAAATGCGACATTTTGTTGTTGTATTTTTCGCTCCATTCCAACAGACCTTTTGTAGCCGAACTAAGAAGATTACGATCAGCGTTTTTTTCTCGTTCTCATGCCAAAACTTTATACGCTGGGATACCTCACGTTCAAAGGGAGTAAATTGCTGAATGCTAGCACCGCACCATGGTAGATGGATGTTTGTGTCGTCGTTGTTGTTGTTGTTTTTATTTTTGCGGTGGGCTGGGTTTTACTTCTTCTCGTTGAATGAGCGACTATTGCTCCCGACTCTTGGGGTTTTCTTTTCAATTTGTGTCTGGGTGTGTGTGTGTGTTTTTTTTTTTCACTTCTTTGTACAACTGCTTCTTAAACGCCAAATTTACACGTCACTGCCGGTCGTTTCGTATTTTACGGTTTTTTCAAGTCAAGATATTTCCCATTCGTTCGTTTGGTCGGTCGGTGTGCTGTTTGCTCTCGGTTGGGTGTTTTTGGGGGATGGTGCTGTGGTGGCTACCTTTTTTCTGACGTTGAGCTCAACACAGTTCCATTGTGTGGGGCTGTGGTTGTTGTTGGTGTTCAGAAATGAACTACACCCACTTCATTTGTGGCAAAAACAAATAAAAAACACAATCCCACACACACACGCGAATACATACACACCTACATACATTGCTACAGACAGGCATTCATACATACATACATACCAACAAACGGACTACATTCAGTTATTATTCAGTTCAACCGGAATGAGACAAACAAATCGAATATTGTAGCCAACTCAAAGTAAAAATGTATGTTTGTCAGTTTGTTCGTTTTGTCTGTATGGCCGAATGTCTGTTACACCACTTCGTGTGCTATTCGTTTGTGAAATGAACCAATCTCATCAGGCAGCGTGTAGAGAAAGAGAGCAGGCGTACTAAATAGCAGATGATATAGACCAAGTTAACCGCAGAAACCTCAGCCGTAACAGCAAAAACAACAAAAAAAACTGAAAAGCAAATCAAACTCACACACACTCACACTCGAACACATACATGGGCTATTTACATATTTACATTGTTTGTCGCTTACACTTTTATTTTTTTGGTCGCAATCACAGACGACGAATTGGTAACACATTCACTTCATTTCAAATTTATGTACCCGGCACATCCAT